AAAATAGAAAATGACTCTCATGCATGCACAATATACTACTACAGTAAGCTTAAAACCATACCCCCTGCCATCCAGGAACGTGAAACTAGTTTTAAGGAAACAAAAGAGGAACAAGTAAAGTGATGCGGTCATATAGCAATTTTTAAATTTTATTTAATCTTGTACTAGAGAAATAATTTTCCCTGAAATATGCTTATATGCTTCTTGTACACTGGAAAATATTTAGCTTGATATTTGTTTCTTTCCAAGTTACTTAAATATTTATGAAGTGTTTATTGTCAACCTAGGGTTACACTTCTTGCAGGAGAGAGGCGTTCATCATCACTTTGATGAGCCAGCTGAGGATGTAACAGTATTTCCAGCAAAATCAAGCCATGATGTGTCCACCAGGCACCTGGACTAGGTAAGGGCAGCATGACGATGTCGCACTGAGCAGGCCATACAGCAGGCAAGTTAACATGCCAAGTAAGGGGCACTGTAAGCACTGGATGGTGAAATTTTAGCTTGTACATTACCTTTGACATTGCGACCATTGTCTGTTTTTAGCATACAAGGATAAAAAAAGAGAGAAATATAAAAAAGAAGACTAATGTTTATATATACTGAGTTACCTCTGTAAATTACCTTTGTAAAAACAGTTCAGAACACATAAGATGTAATGTTAAAAATGTAGCTTCAATTGAATTAGCATTGTGAACTATTTAATCAGGTAAAATTCATATCCTGAAATGTCTGCCATAATAAATATTCTTGCTTAAATAAGTGAAACATTCCATTCACTTCATTTGACTCCACGTTACAGATTTTACAATTATGACAGCTTGAGTAGAGTTATCCACAGCTGCCTGCCATTGTGAGTCTCAACTTTATCGAAAGACAATTTTGTGTCTCCTCAACCTTCACTTACAACATAATAAAAAAAAAACCACAAACATTTTGCATGTTAAATAATTTTTCCATATAATTATACCTGGTGTGAGAATAAAGGAAAGGATTCTAAGATAACAGTTAACTTTAGTAAAACAATTTATATCATTCAGCAAAATTTTCATTAACTGTCAACCTACTTCTAAATGTTCTTCAATGTATATTTTGAAAATAACAAATATAACCAAAAGAGTCATTCTTAGGCAGAACAATTTCAAACATCAGTGAAAGATTTTATTTTATAAAATACATTTGTATGTTTTTAATTATATTATTGCAATGCAGTATAATATCTAAAATATTTAGGAAATTTATAGAGCGTTTTCATTTTTTATGAAGATGGCAATCTAAATATTGCATACTTGCTATTAATAAGATATGTATTACTAGCTTTCAAATACATAAGCTTAAAATAAATGAAGTCAGCCAAACATTCAGATATATTTAGATTTGAAAAACCTGTTCACAATTTGGTTGACATCTATGCTATCGTTATATACATTTAAAGTCTTGGGATGTACCATAAATTGTTTCAAAGCTTACATTTAGAGCAATTCCAATAGTGTGCTAGACTGAATTACAGAGAAAAGCATAAATAAGATGTGGCTTTTGATGATAGCTCTGAGGGAATCACAAAAAGGGAATGGGGATTGTGGAAGAGATCTTGATTACAACAGAAATAATTTCTCCATCAGAAACTGCATCCAAAATTTTTAGTAAAGTGATAGCTGCTTACAAGTAGTTAAAAATTACTGAAACTGGGGCTGTGGGTAGAATTCAGTTGTAGAGCGCTTGCCTAGCACGCACATGGCTCTGGGTTTGATCCCAGCACCACTAGATATATGTGTATGTATATATATATAATATAAGATCTGCTTGCTATTTCTCCATGGCATAAATTTAGAAGAGTTAAAATCTTTTATATCAATTTGACAAAGTAATTTCAAGTATGTTGAATTTAATAAAACGATTGGAGTTTATATTTTGCATATCTATGTACTAGGGTCTGAATGCAAGGACTCACCTTTGCTAGTCAAGTAGTCTGCCCCTTGAACCAGACGCCCAGCTCCTTTTGCTTTAGCTTGTTTTAAAATGGGGTGTTACACCTTGTTCTGCTTTGGACTGTGATCCTCCTAGCTATACCTCGTGTGTAGATGGGATAAGCGTTGTGCATCACCACGTCTGGCTTGTTTTTCTGAGACAGGGTCCCAATAACTTTTTGCTCAGGTTGGTTTTAAACCTGGATCTTTCCATCACTTCCTCCCAAATAGGAATGTTTACAGGCATGAATCACCACTCCTGGCCTTACACACCTATCTTTTCAAAATTTGTTTTTATAGTAGTGGGTTTTTATTGAAGTTACAATCCTCTCTGCCTGGAATGGATTTGGAACAAAATTCTGGTCCTTCATCACCAATCACTTAAGAAGTATAGTTCTAGGATATTTGATAATGTAGATTAAGTGAGAGGTTTATGTAAAATATTATGGACAAATATATTTACAATGTATTTAAAGATCGTAAAGATCAGACTGCCTATGTAAAAGAAGGCTCTATTTGCATGAAAACAACAATCTGCATGTAGAATTAATCTATTAACCGGATTTATGGATTCATAAAATTAAAATCAACTGTGAAGGTGCTCCAGCTACACTTATCAATGCTCAGTTTCTAAAATATAAAATTATGCAGGCTTAAGAACTGTAGTTTCTTCTATGCTTATCAGTGATTTTGTAGTTAAAATAGCTCTTTAGCTGACTACAGCATCTGCACAAAGTGATACATTTCCTGAAAATAGCCTAGCTTGGGAAGTGGAGAAAAAGTGAGGATCATGTTAACACCAAGTGCCCATGTATAATGACTGAACTGAGAAATCCAAAAAAATACTGAGTCTTTCATCATTAACTGTGTACTAAGTGGAGGCCACATGAATAGAAAACAATAAACCTAAGTAATCTAAGAACCACCGTTAAGACATAAACAGATCATTAGGATGCACTGATTATGTATGAGTTTTATTTTCACATTCATTGTTTCTGAAGTTTATTATCCTATAATTTAGTATCCCTCCGGGGAATCACTGAAAGGACAATCTCTGAAAAGTCACTATGTTTGCTGAAGCTGATTGCACTAGTTGGATTAATAACTAAAACATATATGAATCACCATATTGATTTTATTGTTGTTGTTCAGCCATAGGATCCATTGCTCAAAAATCAGATCACAAAGTTTATATTCTGTCAGAAGATACTGAGCCCACCATTAGTAGACAGCCTAGGGCCTTGGATAATTATCCAGTTTCAGAATTGTTTTTGATTGTATTTCCCTTTTTAATGCCAGATTAAAATGTATGTGCTAATTGCTCTTGTGAAATAATAATTTCTCAAATTTTTCCTATTGCCAACTATTCTTTCTGTATCTGTGATATTGATTTATATCTCTTTAAAATTGTTCCTGCCAACTCCTTTGCTTCAACTTTTCTGCTTTTTCTATCTCATTGTGCCATTTAGGTAAAGATGCTCCTCATGACTGAATCCTAAAATACTGGTTTAAACTCAGAGTGTTGTGAAGATAACTCATTATTTTCTGATGTGTATGATTTTGGAGCACAACTTGTGAGCATGATCCTCTCAATGTCAAACCAATATTACTGAGTATCTGCTACGAAGTATACAATCATGCTGGATATAAAGATTACAGAGCTAACTATCCCAAATCATGGCAACAAAATTCTTTGCTTTCATATCTAACCACAATGATGTACAATATGTAATATATGTGGGATATAAAAAGATGCTATAATACATATAAACACTGCTTTGAACATTTAGGTCTGAAGTTATTTCATTCTTTTGGTTTGGGAAGGAGGAAATGAGTGATTAAGACTGAGTAATAGTGTGAGGAGGTACAAGGTGGAGAAGAAGAATATTTTAGGCAGAAACTAATAAAGGATGGAAATAAATGATACATTCTGTGGAACTGGCAAAGTATCTCAGTGCAGGCTTAGAATAGGGCTACAGTAGGGTGGCTGTCCTGCAGGGGCTAAAATTGAGGCTTGAAAAGTAACTGTGGTCACTTAGGAAAATGCCTCTTACACCATACTAAGGAGCCTCGTGATCAGATTGATGTTTCAGAGACAATTGGCAGCAGCATGGGTGGCGATGGCACTTGAAGGAATGTGTATCAGAGAAAGGCCATCAGACCTCTCAAATACTCAAATCTGTGAGAGGTCAGATGGTGGGTTCGAGAGATAGTTAGTCCTTGGTGTGAAGCCCAGTTTTTGCACTATCTCTATAATCTTAGATCAGATATTTATTTAACATACATAAAACTCAGTTTCCTCACCTGTAAAATGGGACTTACAAGTGGTTCCTAACTTTCAGATGTGTTACAAGAATTAAGTGAGAGTTGATGTGTTTCATGCACTTACATGGCCTTGGCATAGTAAATAACTAATGTCATCCATCACCATGTTAAGGATGAGTTCTTTCTGTGGTTGCACCCCTTCTTTCACTCTGGCTATTAGAAGAATGTGAACATAGGAGACCAGGGAGAAAAACAAAAATTATGATTTTGGTTGGTAGGTTTTTTCCCCCTAAATTTTCCCCTTCCTCCTACTTATCTATTTCAGCCATCAGCACATCACATTTCATTGCTTCTCTTTGGAAAGTGTTAGACAGTGACATTGTACTGTGAGGACACACCACTCTTTTTTCAAGTTGTGATCATTTGCTAAGCATGGAAAAATTAATTATGCTTGAGATGACAGTAATCATTACCTAAGCACATCTTATTTATATTAAGAATTAAACACTCCAAGATGTAGGCAGATAATGGTTATCATCTATTTCAGAACCACTAATAATGAAGCCAAAAAAATTTTTTGCTAGAGTGCAAAAAAGAAATGAGATACAACTCGATTAAAAAGAAAAAAAAACTGAACATTTTAATAGCTTTTAATCACTTTTCTTCTTTCAAGGCACAAGGATTAATGTTGAAGTTTAAAACAATATGGAAGAAAGCTTTCATTACTTATTAACATATGCTTCTATGTTTAAAAAAATTCAAACCTACCTTCACTGGCATGTCGATCTCTAAATACGCTCTTGGGGTGGACACCGAATCCTTCTATATCGTGAACTGAAGATGCTCTTCGTATACTACAGATGCTTTCCCTTGATCTGGAGTGGGTCAGTTGGCAACTTGACTGCAGCATGTCAGGGTAGAGTCTGTCCCATTGTCTTTTGGGAGAGGAATGGTCAAGAGGTCCAGATATGTTCACCAGGGGAGAGCATTTGCTGGGCTGTATCAAGGCCTTTGTGTCATCTGCTTCAGAGGGGCTGCAGCTCTCTTTTGTAGGAGACTTGAAGGGCTTCATGGCCACTGAATCATCACTGTGTTTGGATGAATCAATAACCACCACATCAGGGTCTTCCTGTGGCAAGGACTGCTTTCTGTAAGTGAGAACTCTCAAACCAGGGAACTTGAAGCCAAAAAGTTTCCCTACAAAAGGAGACAGAAAAAAGAATTATTATAAGACAATGAATGTATCCTTTAACAAAAACATTGTTGACTCATATTTAAACACCTTGTAGAAATCACTATGAATCAATAAGTAAGTTAGCTACAGCTGGAAAGAGGCAGATTATAGAGAACTTTTCACTATGAAATGCCACATAAATAGTAAAATATTTGTCAGTTATATTTTTCATAGTTAGAGAACAATACAATAACACAAAAGCATTGTTCAGATGACAGGAGACCTTCATTTTTAATGAACTAAAAACTTGTATTCACAATGCCTCCATGGCATTAATAGGAAAAGAAAGTACAGGGCAGCATGTGTCAAGGACAGACGCATGTATGTGTGGTGGGGAGTCTGGGGCATGTGTTGGGAGTAAGATGCAAGGAAGTAGGGTGGGGAATGAAGAAGGTCTGATAATGTCTTGAAGATTTGCACTGGATAATATTCTGAGTTGAATTTGGGTTGGAAAAGTAGGATCAACTGTCTAACCAGAGGTTCCTCATTCCATCTGGAATTCTTGAAAAGCTTTTGGTTCTAAAAGAGATGTTAAGATAAAAATTTATTTTTCCTTTTTGTTTTTGGTCTGTATTACTGTTGTTTCAAAATCTGAGAGTATGACATTAATTGTTGTTCATATCTCAGAGTGGATGGTGCATAAAAGGACAGCTAAATAAAAAATTAAAGGGTAGATGTTATACATTAAATATTACTTAACAAATATAAAAATTTAAACTTCCAACATTAAAAATGTTAACAGAAAAAACACACTAGTAGTAAAATGCCAAATTAAAATAAGAAGGTATAATTTTTCCACCCTTAAGTTTAGGATTAAATGAAACAAGCAAATAAATATCACACTGAGTGATAGCAAAGCATGCTGGTGACCTTTCTGACACTTTGCTGGAGGGGCTGCAAATTTCTGTAGTTTTTGGAAAGTGTCTGATAATATTGATTAAAATGAGAAAAAATATGCTTTGCATTTGACTCAGCAACACACATATAGACTATTGCAAAGGCATACAAACTAGAAACAATCTGAATTTCCATTAGAAGGAGAATGCGTGAATAAACCAACTGTAGTATTAAGTTAAAAGGCAGTTTCAACTCCATATGTTTATGATATTACTTTCATTAAAAACAATAAACACTCATACGTGTCCATATAATTTGAATGGCAGTGGGAGAAATATATGGAAAAATATACTCCAAACTTTTAATGTTGACTGGCTCAGTGAGTGGGTTTTGGAGTACTTATAATGTATTACATTCTTCTTTATATAGTTCTACTGTTTGTTATATTGATCACACCTTGTTCTATAAATTTAAAAAGTAATAAATCAAGTAAAACTTTCACCCTTCCAAGAAAATGAAAAGGTAAGAGAAAGCATCCAAATAATAGTCAAATCAAAAGCTTTCTAAGTTTTGTTTATAAGAAAAGTCAGTTTGTCACTTCTATTGCTAGGACAGAATTTGAGTTCACAACATTCCATGGCTTTATAATCATATTTTGCTTTTCTGGTCATTTAGCTTGTGTCTTTGTACTACAATATATTCTACCTTCTTACATCCTTCAAAAGTCCTAGGCACCAAATGCTGTGAGCACCATTGTCTTCAATATATTTTCTATGAACTTCTCAATGAATGCATGATGGTTCTAAAATACTTCTCAAAAACTCACAACAGTTTCTTCAAATTGAATATATTCTCTCAGTGAGTAGTCTTATCTACACATTTATTTTCAATTTTGCCTTTAATACAATGATCTATAACTTTATACATCCAACCTAGACCTTTAACTCTTTGAGTTTCCAAATCTGAGTATCTGAATGATGTTACCAACATTTCCACTTGGAAGTCTTAAAGACACCTAAAAATCTCATAGTAAATTCACCCTCAAGGTCTATCCCTCTGGGCCCACCGCCTACCTTTTTTTCTTTTTTCACCTGTGAATGGCATTACCGTCCATCTAGTGGGACAAGCCGGACACTATAGGGTCATTCTAGGTTCTGCCTCTCTCTCAGCCATCCCCTATGTACAATCAACATAAATCCCTTAATTGTGTTCATCTCCTAACATTTTTAAAACATTGTCACTTCTCTCATGTCACTACTTTTCTTCTGCCTGAGCTACTGCTGCAATGATTCACTTGACTTCTTGGAATAGGATACTAATCACTTTTCCTATTTTCATGTTGGCACCAGTTATTGTCCATCTTTAACTCTTCCCTTATAAGTTCCTACTTTGAGAATGAAAATGAAACACTCTCCATCCTGCATCTTCATCTCCCCTCACTGCTCTTTAGAATGCAGCCATAAAGATTTTCTTGGTGGTATTGGGATTTGAATTCAGGGCTTCACACTTGCTAAACAAGTGCTTTACTGTTGGAGCCATGCATCCAGACTCAGCTATAAGGACTTTTTAATTCCTCTGAAGGCCTGTGCTCAATTCAGATTCAGAACTTCCTTCTGTTTGATGATCTTCTTTCTGCCTAATAGGATCATTCTTTAAGCTTTAACTCCACATTTATTTCCTTACAGATGCAATCCTTTTGTTTTGAAGCCATTCATAGTTTTGCATAGTTAGCACCTATTCATAGTTTTCACCACACATAATAATTATACACTTAGTGATTTTCTGATTAACATTTCCCTCTCCCTCTGGAGTGGAGGTCTTATAAAGGAAGGCACCCCATCTATTTTGCTTAGCATTGAACTCTGGTCCTTACGGAATTCCTGAGCATGGTAAATGAATGTTTATAGACAGATTCTAGACGGAGCTGACAGCGTGCTTAATTTTGACTGTGGAAAAAAAGTTGAATATTTTATTACTCTGGCCATAGTAATTAGACCTCCTTAAATTGTATTGACTCATATTTACTTAAAGTGACCGATTGAGCAGAAGTCAATAGCTCATGGAAATAGTGAACTGTAAACATGCCCTATATACATAATACAATTGTTACTGCTAATTTCATCTTTTCTACAGAGACTATTATTAACTGCTGCCATTCTGATTCTAGCGTATACACAGAAGTGTCCGCAAGCTCCATAACATCTAGTAAAGTTTATATAAAATATCTGTTACAGAACATTTCAGAATTAAGCAGCCTAATTTTTTATTGTAACTTTTCATTTGTAGACTAAGAGTTAATGGTGTTAAATATAATTGAAATATTATTTATCTTTCTGATTAGAGCCATGACACAATGCAATACAAGCCACAAGTACAATCTACATTAAAATATGGATTAATAAACAAAGATAAGAGTAACCGATCTGTACACATAAGATTAAATGTCAGTGCAGGACAATAATCGTTTTGCAAGCATTCCTGCATTTTTCTACTAATAACTTTTATATGCTCAAGTAAATTGCCAAGTTAAAAACTGGTGAACTGCATCAAAGTCATTTGATTAGTTTTTAATGCACATGAAATTGAGTTATAAAGTAGTTTACAAATCAATTTTGCAAGCTTATTACAATGCATGGAAGGTCAATGCCTGCTTTTATTCATTCTTTATCAGTTCACGTTATCCTCCTTTCAAAACAGTTCACTGACTTTCTTAAATTAATGACTACATGAGGCATTTAGTTTGTTCCTATAGTTTAGTCATATCCAAGGTGGTACAGATGGTGTTTTCTGCCTCACTAGATTAATTTGACCATGTTGTATTGCATTACAGATTTAGTTGTCTAACTGTAGTTCATCCGGAAAGGATACACACTGAGAAATTTGCTCAATGCTGGCACTTTCAGGCATGAAATATAAAACATAGGTAAGTATACATTGCTGTGGATTGTAGCTCTGAAAAAAATACTTGTAGCTAAGTCTTCAGATTTCATTATATTTAGTAATTTGAATAATTAAACTAATATTTAGTCTCATATCTAGTAAAATCTCAGTAAATATGAAATAAAATTAGAACAAGGCTTTTTTTTTTAAGAGTTGTAGGTGGATCTTTATTTAAAAATCTGATCTTCCAAATTAACGTTTTCCACCAACTCGAGGAGCAGAAACCTTTACTGGCTTCACAATTTTTTGCTTAGGTGCTGCCTTGTGGGATCCTTAGCAGCCGCCATTGCTATCTTCTTGGATGCCTGCTTAGCTTTTTTTGCTTCCTTGGTAGCCCTGATAGCTTGTTCTCATTGAGCCTTTCTAACTTCTGGTTTCTGATTTCTCTTGGTCATGATATCAGGAAGAGATGCACCAGTGATGGCCCGCTGGAATTTGACTGCATGCCCGGTTCTCTTTTTTTGAATTTCTTCCGACTGTCCCTTTTTGTGCTTTCTTCTGCAGCGGACAGTCCAGTTTATCTGTGGAGGATTCCTCTTGGAGAGGAACACCGACTCGCATTTTGCATTGAGAAATTGGAAAACCTTCCCATGCGTCCTGGCGAAGCGCCTTCCGTGCGAGAGGTAGATCTTGAACCCGCTAAAACTGCACAGCTCAACCTTCATGGTGGCGGCTGGCGGCCGGTCAAGAGGAAAGATGGGAAGAGTAAATGTTTTTTTGGGGCACTGGGGTTTGAACTCAGGACCTCACACTTGCTAGTCAGACGTGCTACCACTTGAACCACTCCACCAACTCTTGAACAAGGTTTTTCACACATTCTTACACATCCTCAAAAAGAGTAAATACAGATAAATTTATTATATGAACCTAATTTTGTTTACAAACACTTGTCGAAGACATTATATAGTTGCTACAGTTGCTAATATCTAAGACTATTAGAAACAATAACCTTTTTTGGGAAAAACAAATATTTCCACAAAATTTTGTATTTTTTATCATCAAATTTCCTCATAAAGTAACTGTGAATTGCTAATTGTTTCCTTGGTTCAATTTCTCATCATTTGTACAAAGTCTTAGAACTTTGATAATTTAACGGTTTTGCTGCCAAAACACAATACAATCAAATTAAAATTATTTAACTCTTGCTTTGGTCTTAGTTGAATTAAGGACTGGAAAGTGGAGAGAT